GGAGAAGTCACTTACCCTCTCTGAGCTTCAGTTAACCCACCCACAAAATGGAGACAATGATACCCTCCCTGCCTTACCTCTCAGGATTATGAGGAAAATCAGATGAGATGATGAGTTGAAAAGACTTTGTAGGAAAAATATAATGGATTTTGATTCTAGTCCTGGTATGAACCAGGTGATAAGGTTCATGGAGTTGAAGGACCCCCAGTGAAAGAATTCCTCTGTCCTTCCCTACCTCTTTTCCCCTTATGGAAATGCTGAAATCCCTCCAAGAAGGACTGGAGAAATCCAGGGACCCCAGAGACAATAAGAGTCCCAGAAGCAATGCTGGACATCTGGACATTACCTGGGCAACATTCCTGAGGTCTGAACCTCTCCAGAGAGAGCCCCTCTGGCTCTCAGGCAGGCGGCATGCTAGAGAGAATGACCTGTCACCACACAGGGGAGAAGCTAGGTCAAGGAAGCCAGAACCAGCATTTCAGAGCCACTTCCACAGGAGGAGGACTGGGTGCAAGAGCAGGGGAGAGAAGGGGAGTTTCCTTTGTTGCGTCTCTCACGCTTATATCCCACCTTCAGGAGACAATGACAGTTGCTTTTCACGTGACAACGGCGCTTGTGTCATTTTCCTCCTCTGAACCTCCACGTCCTCATCTGTAACCGGGACGATGATGCCCCGGACATGCTGTGAGGCCGGCTCCATAAATATGGCGGCCATTCTTCCATTCGTTGAAAGCAACCAGTCCCAGCACTCAAATCATACTCTTTCCCCAACTTCCCACCTGCAATATTTAGAGAAAAATCCAAAGGCACTTTAGAGCCAGAGCCTGGGTCTCTAGAGGCATTCTCAACCATCTCACAAAGAGGTTGAGATCAGCTGGTGGTGGGAGGAGACAGGAGCCCCTCTGTGGGTCAGAGGCATGTGTTTCAGTTGCTGTCCAAGGAGGACATGGTGGACCCTCCTCCCTCACGGCTGCTAAAAGCCATTCTAGTTCTGGAGCTCTGTGCTGTCCTAAGGAAGAGCTGAGTCCTGGGCAGTGAACGACAGGGAGCATTCCTCGCTCCATTCACCACTAGGAAGAGGGGAATGAAAAGCTGACACCTGCTGGTATCCAGGTGCCCTTATCCACCCTCTAATGGGTCCAGTCCTCCTCAGTCTGGAAAGGACAGGAAGGAGCTGGGCACCTGTCTTCACATCTTAAAGTACAGCTGGCTGCAACTCTCCCTCCTCCCCCTACCCCCATAGCTCTCTAGAGTTCTGGCCGACTTAATTACCCCTTCCTGAAGGGTCTTCCCTGAATCAATCATCTAAATCCTAGCCCCCGTCAACCTTGATCAATGTCCCCTCCTCCCTTCTTCCCTGATCCCCTGTGAACTCCAGTTGCATTTTTCTTGTCTTTCTCAATGCCAATCTGCATGCTGTGTCACAGTCACAACTGCACTTATTAATCCCCCCGCCCCCCACCTCCTGGTAGTGAAGGCAATTGCACCGGTTTCCATCACAGGCTCTGGATCTAGACAGACCTGAACTCAAACACTAGCTTTGCAGTTTCTTAGTCATGTGAACCTGGGTAAGTCACTTATCCACTCTGAGCCTCAGTTTCCTCTGGAAAATAAAAGAAATAATAGTACCACTCTACAGAGTTGTTGCAATTAAATGAAACATTGTACATAAAGTGTTCAGAGCAGTCTGGCACCAAGTTAGCAAAGTGGCTTTTTGGTTATGGTGCCCATCAGGCATGTCCAAGGATAATTTGTCTCCTGAAACACCTAACACAGAGCCATATGCTAGATGGATGGATTTGTACGAGGTAGATTTGTGCGCTACATAAGGAAGCCCTTACCAGCAGGCAAAGCAGTGCTTCCTGGGCCTAGATCAGGGCTGCCTTTGCAGGTCACGAGTGCCACATCACAGAGTGGCATGCAAACAGATGCAGGTTGGCCACTTAGCCTACCAAAGGAGATGTGGTACTCAGAGCATGAGCTCTGAAGCCAGGCTCTTTGGGCTTGAATCCCAGCTCCTTTACTTCCTTAAAGCGTGGCCTTAACTTAGCTGTGCCTTAGTTTCCCCATCTATAAAATGGGGATAATAATAAGACCTACCCAAAAGATTGTCATGAGGGTTAAATGAAATAATACATGTAAACATGTAAGCATGCCCAGCACAAGAAAAGTAATTCAATAAACATTAACTATTACTATCATTGTTGGTATTTGTGTTACTACTACTGAAGAGGGGAGTTATGGTCCCTTGTAGGTCTATGAACTGTTCACTCTCAACCTAGGATTCTACTAATCTTCTAGTATGTTCTCACAGTCTGCCCAGCAACCTTCCCCCATGCCTGGCCACTCAGATTATGGCTATCCTCCTAGCAACAGGATTGAACCACTCAGAATCCTTCCCTTGGGTTGATATATAGGTCCTAGCAGAAAAATAGCCTCCTCTTTCTGTTTGGGTTGGTAAGCTGGGACAGTGGGACAGCTTAAAGGGGAGAGGCAAGAAGTGACGGCAGAGAGAAAGAGTCAACATAACTCATTATCCTTCAATCCCATGAACTGTCCCAGGATACATTAAGGTCCTTTTGTGAGTCAAGACACTTAGTTGAGCTTTTGTCACTGGTTTCTGTAAAAGCTATGCCCAGTCACACAGAACCCAACCAAACAAGGTCTGTGCTGGTTGTGGGCAGGTCTGTAGAGAAGCCAGCACTCTAACTGCTCCTGTGCATCCAGGCACCACCCCTATCATCAGGGCTGCAATGGACAGTTTACAAACCACGTTCTCAAGAATCATCTTGATCCAGTGGTCTTAGAGACACTGCTTCCTGGAGCCCTGGGAAGGTGCAGAGGTATCTATCTCCAAAAGCACCCAGGGGAAAAAAGGGCAATAAAGAGGGCACAATTCTTGGGGAAGTGTCCTCAATTCAACCCGAAAAGTTCTACCACAAATGCAAATATAGGGATTCTGCTGCCCAAACAGATTTGAAGGCCTCTATTCTAACTGACACTCAAAAGAGCATTAAGAAATAAGTCGGGTGCAGTGGTTCACATCTATAATCCCAGCACTTTAGGAGGCCGAGGCAAGAGGATTGCCTGAGCTCAGGGGTTCAAGATCAGTCTGGGCAAGATGGTGAGATCTCGACTCTACAATAAATCAAAAAATTAGTCAGGCATGGTGGTGTGCACCTATAGTTCCAGTTACTTGGAAGGCTGAGGTGGAAGCAGGTGGAGGTTGTGGTGGCCTTGAGCATGCCACTGCACTCCAGCCTGGGTGAAAGAATCAGACTCCAACTAAAAAAAAAAAAAGAAAGAAAAAGAGAAAAGAAACAGCCAGGACTGATGTGTTTATCCACATTCTACCAAAGGGGAAACTGAGGTCCAGAAAGAGGAAGTAATGAGGCCAAGGTTGCAGAGCAAGGACTTGAACATGAAGCCCTGGACATGCAGGCCTAATAGACTCCCCACACCAGGTTGCCTGTGGAAATCTATTCTCTCTTACATTTCCTGTCTCCTTTAGCAAACTGGTAGGGGCCGATACCTGGAGTCTCAGCTTTCTTGGCTCTGACCCTTACAGAGCCACCTGCTTCTCAGCCTGACTCCTTGGAGGGCTTGGGAAGCTTGAGAAATGTGTGGAATAAATGAATGACCCAATCCCGACCTCCCCTCATGGAGCCCCCCACCTCCCCTATGCACACACACTCTGAGCTCCCCTTCTCCCCACACACGTGCCCAAATGTTAGGAAAGGCTGGGCAGGCCCCCTCCTGGGAACTCCTAATCCACCTCCTCTGCCCTGGCTTCGCTGTGACTGTGGACAGAGGACTCCTTGTTCCCAGTGCTTCCTGCCCAGAGATCTCCGTGGGGCCCATGCAGGAAGGAGCCAAAATCGCTCCTTTTAACTGGAGCTAAAGCCACCCCTACCCCCACCACCCCCAGGAGCAATATGTTCCCAACTCCCCTCACCATTCACTCTACCTGCCCCAGTCCCAACTCAACTCCACAGCCCCTGCTCACTACCTGCACGCGCTTGCACACACACAGGTACCAAGTGGAAAGTGCCCTCAGGTGTCCAAAGGTACCTCACATCTAAGCAAAACTAAACACCAGCGGATTCTAGAATGACATCCCAGCCCTGGCAGTTGTGCCTTACGAATAATCCCACAATGATATTTGCATGTTACTTTGCAGTTTCCCAGTCAGTGTGATTTCATTGGCTTGGCTCCCTCTCTCCCCCGCCCTGCCAGAGTCACAGCACCTCCCAGTTGGAAGGGGGTTCTGACATGCCCCAGGCCAGTGGTTTTCAAACTGTTTACACAAGCCAAGAAAAGGTCCTTCACATTGTCTGGGGACTGCTGGGGGCTAAGGAACTAACCAATTAAATTTGAGTCCCCCAGCCCTATCCCAACTCCAATGCAGGTGGCAACCCCTTTAGCTGTTTCCTACATGGAGATTCTTTGAGGTTCATTTGAAAAGGTAATTTTCCTGCTAGAAGGCTTAAAAACAACTCATTTAGTCTGACCCTACCTTCCCTCACCTCTATCCCGACAACGTGTATATGACCCTGAGGCCAACAGAAAGGAAGGGTACCTAGTAACCAGTGGCAGAGCCAGAATGAAAATACCCCCTCCTGAATCCAGTCTTCAACCTAAGAGTGGTTAAGCAGCAGAAAGTAAGAGCCACAGGGCCAGCAGATCTGGCCTATGCAGGCCATCACTGCCCAGTGCCATCTGTCGCCATGGTGGCATGGAAAAGCAACACAGGCAAAGCCTGCTGCTGTCTAACACAGGGAGCCTAGTGAGTACACATTTCACCCCTACTCAAAAGAAGCCAAAAACAGAGAGGGCCCCTAGCGCTGCCCCCTTTTCAACTCCACCAGGAATATGTGGTCTAAATAAACCCTCAGGCTCGCCCACAGTAAAATAGATCAAAATGGAGAGCCCAGGAGGCTGGAAGACCAATTTGTCCAACCTCAGCAGAAAGAGTAAGCCTGTGCCTCTGGAACACTCACCCCTCCTCTGTCCACACCAGCTCCCTGGGGGCAAGGACGTCTGTCAGTCAGGCACCTAGAAGGAGGAAACGGTGTTAGCTCTCAAGCACGTGAGTCCATGGGCCCAGCACGAGCTAGAAATTGAGAGGCTGGCATCTGACTCTCTGAGGAGCCTTAGGGAAGTTGCTGAACCTGTTAAACACAAAGGCCCTGTGACAAGCAGAGAGCAAAAGGGAAAGTAACAAATAAGAAGCTGAAGCACCCAGCCAGGCTGTGAGGTGCTGTGGAGGCCAAGATGACGGTTCATCTTTATTCTAAGGGCCAAGGGAAACCACTGATGTGCAGGGGAGAGAATGGACTGGAAAGGGGCAAGAGCAGCTGCAGAAGTGTCAGGAGGCTGTTGTGATTGTTCAGGGGAGATATAACAAGGATCTAGAGCAGGCATGCCCAACCCATGACCTGCGGGCCACATGCGGCTCAGGACAGCTAGTCATGCAGCCCCATGAAAGCTTTTAACATCATGTGGTTTTTAGCATTTGTTTTCTTTGTGACCTTGTGCGTAGTTCCATTTTGGAAGTTCTCAATCACACCTTATTCATGACATGGCTTTTTGTAAGCAGCTGTTTTCAATTATGAAGCACACGAAGAGCAAAATTCAAGCAAACATTTCTAACGAGCACCTTGAAAACTCACTAAGAATTGTGACCACTTCCCTCAAACTAGACATGGATTGATTAGTTTTACAAAAACAAGGTCAAATTTCTCACTAGTTTTATATTGTTCTCATTTTTCTAAACTTTATAATAAAAAATATTAAGAAAGAAGTCTTAGTATACTATATACTTACTATATTATATAATTTACGTGCAGCCCAAGACAATTCCTCTTTACTCAGTGTGGCCCAGGGAAGCCAAAAGGTTGGACACCCCTGGTCTAGACTTGGTGGTGGACTGGATGTATAGGGATAGGGGGAGAGCAGGGGTGCCAACCCTCGGGTACCTCCTTCCACGTCAGTCCAGTGGTCTCCAGCATATAGAAGAAAGCATAACCACTGCTCTCTCAACCTGGCCTATCTTTGCCTTAGTCTTCCCATCTATGAAGTAAACATGGTTGGATTCAGTGATCGCTCAAGGTCCTTCAGCGTTAATATTCTGTTCTAATATAACTAACTCACAGTATTCAAACGATTTTTCAATCTTCTTGGAGCCCCAATTGCAGGTCGGGCCTACTGTGCAATGGGGCAGGATAGTTGGAGGGAGAAGCCTCAGATCTTTGGATTCACATGCTCAAAGTTGTCAATCTCCAGATGGGATGAGGTGTTTCTGCTTCACACAGAACAGGAGAATCAGACACATCCAAAAAATATACAGCAGTTTATGAGCCTGGATTCTGGAGTCACACAGACCTGGTTTGAATTCTGGTTCTACCACTTTCTACCTATGTGGCCTGGGGCAAGACACTTTACTTCCTCATTTGGAAAACAGGTGTAACCATGTCTGCTTCCAGGGCTAATGGGAGGGCTGAACAAAGTGGTGCCTGTGGAGAGTTCAGCACAGTGCTTTGTCACAACCATCCAGGGGACAGTAGCTTCCATTCATGGATGCAGAAACTGAGACCCAGAAAGGTGGAGTGACTCACTGAAGACCACAGAGTGGCAGAGCTGAGAGCCCTACAGGCCAGCTGGGCTCCAGATTCTGGGCTCAAAACCACTAGGTTGTACATACACTATTTTGGTTCCTGCTTTTCAGATGAGGAAGTTGAGGTTAAAAAATAACAAATGACTTGCCCAAGAGAGAATTAACCATGGAAGAGGGATCTGAATTCAGGTCTCCTTGATGAAAAAATGTATGGTCTCTCCACAGATATCCAGAAAATAGATTGACGTGGAGAAGCTTCAAATTTCAGAGCCTGTTAAACCTGGAACAAGGACAAATGCAAACTGGGGTGAGTGGTGTATGTGTGTGTGTGTATGCATCCATGTGCAGCTACCTTGAGAAGCCAGAAGGAATTGGTGGAACAAAGCCTCTTTCTCAGAGGCCCTCTCCTGGGACTGGGCAGGAAAAAAGGGCCTGACAAGCGCGGCCATCGTCCTTCTGGGACTGAGCTGAGGGCTGGATCTAAACAAACCGAAACAGTTCCAGCGTAGCCACCAACTTGCTGTGTGATCAGCAGGTCTCTGTTTCTCTCTGTCTGTCTGTCTGTCTCTCTCTCATCTCTGTTTCTTCAACTCCAGAATGAAACAGTTGTACTAAACAGTATCAAGATCCCTTCCAGTTAGCGAAGACTAATAATAACCATAATAATAACCATTCCTGGCAGGACTCTATGGCTCAGCCTGTAGTCCCAGCACTTTGGGAGGCCGATGCGAGTAGATTGCCTGAGCCCGTGGGTTCAAGACCAGCCCAGGCAACTTGGTGAGACCTCGTCTCTACAATAAATCAAAAATTAGCCAGGCGTGGTAGCACACGCCTGTAGTTCCAGCTACTCAGAAGGCTGAGGCGGAAGGATCGCCGGAGCCCAGCAGGTTGACGTTGGGGTGGCCGTGAGTATGCCACTGCACTCCAGCCTGGGTGACAGAGTGAGACTCCAACTCAAAAAATAAATAAATAAATCACCATTTCTTACACGCTCTGGATTTCTAGTCAGTCTCTGCTCCTGTGACCTCAAGTGGTGGCCTCATAACACCGGCTCCAATATTACTACAATAGCTCTGGGAAGTCCTGCATCAGGTCTTGACTATATGGCCAGTTCACTTGCCCTCAACAGGTTTCAGCCTGCTCAGCTGTAAGATGGGGACTTATCTTTGTCTAAACACTGGCAGAAGGGAAGACCCAAGGAGCTACCCCAAAGGCTAGCAATTCCTTGAAGTTCTGTACACAGCACTCCCCCATCCCCATCCCAACTATCACCCTCGAGCCCTTTGCATTTCTTCTCCTTTCCCTCTGGCCTATGCTCCCTTCAGACAAATGGAATAACTGAGCCCAAGCTGACAGATGCAGCAGAGCTGTAGGAGCAACAACCCCCAAGACTAGCAGTAAGCAGCAGCCGCCACACAGCTAATACATGATGCTTAGATGTGCCAGGCACGGTGCTAAATGCTTCACTTGGATTATTTCTCAGGCAATCCCCTTCAATCACCTAGTCTCAATTTACAGATGACAAAAAGAAGTGCCCAAGGTCACACACAGAGCAGGCGAGTGGCATGGCCAAGGTGAGAACCCAGGCGAAGGCTCTCCATCTGCCCTCAGAAGCCCTGATCGTATCCTTCAGGTTATGGTGCTATCCAGGGTAACATTCCACTAAGAGGTGTGGTCTAGGGCTGGGGGTGGAGTGGAAAATATCTGTCCTTTACTGAGCCCCCAAACCTGCCCAAATACGCAGAATATAGTACTGCACTGTTATTCAAATGTGTACAACTCAACTCTGACAACAACTGCACTGTCAGTAGAAATACAACACAAGCCACACAGGTAATCTAAAATTTTCTAGCTGGGAATGCTGGCGTATGCCTATAATCCTAGCTACTCCTAGGCTACAGTGGGAGAATTGCTTGAGACCAGGAGGTCGAAATAGGCTTGGACAACACAGCACAACCCACCTCGTATATTAAAAGAAAATATATATTTTTTTTGGTGTGCACTTATAATCCCAGCTACTCAGGAAGCTGAGGTAAGAGGATCATTTGAGCCTAGGAGTCCAGCCTGGGCAACATAGTGAGACTCTGTCTAAAACAACAACAACTCTTGAAAATTTTCAGTAGTCACATTTTTAAAAATACAAAGGAATAGATGAAATTAATTTTAATAATATACTGTTTATATCCATTTTGACATGTAATCAATATAAAAAAGACTACTGGAATATTTTACATTCTCTTTTTAATACTGTCTTTTAAAATGTATATTTTACACTTAACAGCACATCTTGACTCAGATACTAAAGACTCATCAGATATTTTGATTCTCCTTGCCTTTACAATTGAAAAAGCATATTCATGAATCTAATTTCCCAAACATAGAGGTTTGTCAATAACTGTGTGGAGTCTTCTTTTAGATCTTGAAATTAGTTAGAGTCGAATAAAATTAAATATTAAATAAAATTTAAAATCCAGTTCTCTAGGAGAACTAGCCACATTCCCAGTGCTCACTAACCAAGCATCACCAGGGGCTGCCGAATGGAGCAGCGGCAGCTCTACAGTCAAGTCCTTGAGGGCACGGGCTAGTGACCTCAGCCCCACCCAGAGCTGAGCCTCAAAGGTAAAGCTGAATCTAAACAGAATGGTCTCTGCTCATTCAACGAACCTCTACTGAGTCTAATATGAATATTTACCTCTATTTACAATGATGGTGACGATGGGATCAGAGTATGACGTTGTTCAGAGGATGACACTGTGGCACAGAGAGATTGGCCAGCAACCCCAGGTCACCCAGCTTTGACTGGGTCTGCTGACTTGGAAGCCTTTGGCAGGGGCCAGTCCTGAGGTTTGGCCTTCTAGAGGAAGAAATGAGTCTTGGCTACTATTCTCGGGTGCCCACGTCCCCCAGTCTAGTGGCAGAGAAGAGCCCAGAACAAGAACCCAAAGAAGAGGCTACAAAGGAAGGAGAACAGGAAGAAAGCATTGGGTGGCAGTCCTGTGGGCTGCGCTTAGGCCACTGTGACACCCTCCCCACGCCTCCCCTCCCCTGCCCAGCAAGAGGCAAAGCAGCCTGCCTGCTCTCTCATGGGTCCCCAGGGCTGGGTGCCACGACCTCTTGGCACCGCCCCAAGAGCACTCACCCAGAGGCCCTTGGGCTAGGACTGGAGCCAGGGCTCGCATCCCAGGGTCACCTCAGCTGGAGGCAGGAAGAGGGTTCAGGTGGTAGCCCGCCTCCTGGAGGAGAGGGCCCTGGAGGCAGATTCCGGGGGGGAGGAGGGGGAGGGCAGGCATGAACCAGAAAAACCCGGGTGGCCCCGCCCCTCTCCTGAGGAGCACAGCTAGCACTGCAGCTTCCCTCCCACCAGCACAGCAGGCTGAGACTCTTACCAGCTATTAGGTTTAACAATTAACTCTGACTGATTTCCATTTTAGCAGGAGGC